TGCTGACAGAGCCTGCCTCCCTCAGAGCACACGCCGCGTTCCCTCCCTGTTGTCCCCGCAGCCCTTGCTGCTGTTCCTGGCTTCCCCTGGGTCTCTGCCGCGTTGCCCTTTGGGCCCCAGGCACCTTCTCAGCAGCGGGTGGAGTGGTAAGTCACAGAAGAGGGATGCCAGCCCTGTGGATGGCTGCACAGGGTGTTAAATATGTTGGTATTTGGCTGCTCTCTTTGGTTTCTCTTCACCACTCCAGTCTGTTGCTCCTGATCCCCTCACAATCTGTTTGCTCCTTGCACACTCTGATAACACCTTCTTGGGACTCCCAGCAGCTGACCTGGGGCTCTTTAAGGTTACTTCTCCAGATTACAGCAGTCTAAGAACAAGCCTATCAGCTAGTTACCTTGTTATCCCATTATTCCCCATTTGCTTTTGCCCAGCCTGTAGTTTTCAAGACTACTTTACTCTCGCAGTTTGCTGAAGCTTCCCTTCTCTTGGATCTTCTTCCAGTGTTCTCTCCTGGCTGTGTCCATGAGCCTCCTCTTCACCAAGTCCTGTGGGCTGTTTTCTTCCAAACAGCAGCACTCCCCAGCAGTGCTTCTTGTGCTTGGGCAGGGAAGCTCCCACTGCTCTGTGCTCTACTGTAGCTGTGCCTTTTCTGCCAAGTGAGTTACACAGAGGCTGCAGAACAAACTGGTGCTTGCCTTTGGACCTGTTTTCCTCTCTGAAGATACCTGTGTGTTTCCAGCATTTTTTAGGCTCTGACAACACAAGCTGCTTGGTGCTATCTTAGAGCTGTCATCACCTGGGTGCTACCCTAACCCAGCTGCTTTGTGAATTCCTGTCCTGTTTGGTAAAGTTGCCTCTTTGGTAGTAAGGAACCTGGGGATGGCCAGGATGTCCTCCCAGGCAGAGAACTGAGTCAGTGTGCAAGGCCAGCAGCTAAACATGGCTTTCAAGAAATGAGAAACGAGACAGGAGGGGCTGTTTACCACAGCACAGCCGGGACCTGCCAGACATAGCCACCACCTGCTGCAGCTAAGGTTGAGGTTGTGCTGGGACAGTCTCACATCTGGGGTTAGCATTTTTGTTCTTTTTCCTTCATTTTTTATTGGCTCACTAACTCTCAAACTGCTCCTACATAGTAGTATCGGCATAAAAATATATTTTGTTTGCAGCAAACCTTTGACCACATGAACTGGAAGGCTGTGGAAAGAACATCTTTTGGGAGTGTCTCTTAGTAACACTGATTGTTGGTGTTAGAGGCAGGGTTGCTGTAGTGCTGTTGTATTCAGATGTAAAAAAATGTGGGCACAGAATATGGGCTGAGGGAGGTAAAATATCAGTGCTGTCACCTAATGCAGAGGAAGGAACATTGCTGTGTCTTTTTGGATAACTTGGAAAATAGCCTGCTCTGCTGCTGTTGATCTGGGGCAGTAACTGCAGTTAAGCCTTGACATTACTGGATTTTTGTTGGAAGAGGGAAGTCCTTTTTTGTGTGTGTGTGTTGAGGACGAGCCCACAACACAGAAATGCTGCAGCTGAAAACACGTGGCTGGCTCGGAGCTTCTCCCTGCGAGTGTGCCATGTTTCCCTCTAGTGGACTCCTCCTCTCACAGTGGAAACCTGTGCCTACAAAAACCAATTACCAGGAGTTCAAGGAGAAATTACTTTGAGTAAGAGCCTGAGGGTCTGTCTAATACCCACCTAAGCCAGCACATGTACATGGAAGCTGCCTGGCTTTGTTATAACATGGGGGAGTGAGGAACTGGGAGACAACAGCAGCAAAAGAGATCAAAGAGAGGTGATGTGTAACCAAACCTCACTGACTGTTGTATTCTGCATGGTTTTTGAGCTGTGGTTCACTTTTCTACAGAAAGACTGAATCGACTTGGATACCACTTTCTCTTATGTCCAGGGACAAAGGAAAAACCTCTCTGCTTTGAGGCCTGTTTCTAAGAAAGCAGAGGCATCTGTTTTTCACCAGTAGGTGATTCACTGCATCCTTGTTTCACTGGTTCCATTCACTTGCCCTCTGTTCCCTCTGCAAGCCCTCCTCCCAGCTGAATATTGGTGTTATGTTTTTACAGCACACTGACCATTAATACCAGTGCATCCAACACAACATGAAGACTAAAACCAAAGGAAAGAAACAAAGGCAAACCGCTGACAAAGAAGCGTTTTCCGAAGAGCCAGCAATGAGAAAAAAGGAACTGGTGAAATGTCTGCGGCGCAAAGAAAGGAGGAATGGGGGGAACAAGGAGAGCAGCAAGAGCCCCCCAGGCAGAGGCAGGCGTGCTTGGAGCAGCAAGGACAGGCTGCTGAGGAGGCTGGAGAGCAACGAGCGCGAGAGGCAGAGGATGCACAAGCTCAACAACGCCTTCCAGGCCCTGCGCGAGGTGATCCCTCACGTGAGGGCCGAGAACAAACTGTCCAAAATAGAGACTCTCACTCTGGCCAAAAACTACATCAAATCCTTGACCTCCATTATACTCAATATGTCCAATGGACACTTCCCAGCAGTAGAAGGGATGGGGGGAGCCTGGGGATCCAAATTGTACCAGCATTATCAACAGCAGCATGGGGAGGATGACCATGAGGAAAATCTACAGAAATATTCCACATAGATTCATAACTTCAGCCAAAACACCAACTGCCAGCTGCTACTGTCATTGTTTTTCCTTCTTACATCATAATACGTGTCATTACCTAGAGGTTTAAAAAGATTATTTTGGCCTCCAGTCTCTCCTTTTTTTTTTTTTTTCCCTTAAAAAGACAAACAGGTAACACTTGTGACTGTAGTTTACATGGCACATTAAAAAATTACCTTAAACCTTCAGAATTTTTCAGAGCATAATGAATGTGTTTGTGTGGTGTGCCAGGGTCTGGAGACCTATCCTGTAACACTGGAGTTGACTTGAAAATGTGATTTAGTAACTTCTGAAAATTATCCCACCTGGAGTAGAGCGAGTTGAACCTTTAAGGTCTGTGTCATCTGAGTTCCTTGGAGTTGAGAATCTTGGCTGTAGTTCTGTTCACCAGCCTTTCAGTGACTCATCTGCTGTGCTAAAGAGAAGATTAAAATTGATGACAGCATCTGACTTGGTGACTGAAGTGGCACATAGGGGAAACTGGTCACCAAATCTGAATATTCATCTTGATCTTTAGCTTTGGTGGATCTGCCCTGGTAATCTTGAACATTGCAAGGCATAAAAGCATCTGTTGATGCAAACATCTGCAAAGCTTTCTTAGATTGTAAGCTCTCTAGAGTAAGGACAGTTCTGATCTGTGTTCCAGAGCATCTGGCCTCACAGAGATTTTCTCTAGTGGGTGTCTGGGTGCCATTCTAATACAAATAATGAATAAGGAACAAATTACTTACTTTTGCCAAGACAATGATAAAAATGCTTTCATGTAGTCTTAAGTTAGACAATGCTCTGGCCAGTTTAAATTACTTCCTAATGAAACCTGTGATGTGATCAGGTTCTTTCTGGGTTAGTGTTAGATTCTGATACTGTAAAGCAATAAATGAAGCAGAAACTCTTCAAAAGGAAAATAAGCTCTTTTTTTCCCCTCCCTCTATCCCCTTCTGTGGTAAAAAGTTTTATGTCACTGAGGAACTCTCATTTCCTCTTGTATTCTCTTACCTGGAGCACCTGAGGCTGGAGTGGCCTCAGTTGGAAGTGTGGTGCCCACAGAGCCCCCATGTCCCTGCTCCCCCTCCCCACATGCCCCATGAACAGGAGCTGCTGCTCTGTGCTCTGAGGGCACAGGAAACATTTGGCACCTCGTGCATCACTAGGATTGATAATGGTTTGTGGCCTGGTCCTTTTCCAGCAGAGAAGGGTGTCCAAGGAGGAGTGGGGGCTGAGGAAGCATTTATCAGATCCATCACAAAAGGATCGTGCTGCTCTGTGCAGTTTGGAATGTGTTTGTAGTTTGCTGCAGCACAGCTGAGGGGATGACAATGTAATTGAGAGTGAAAGGTGAGGATTCCCACACAGGCTGGTAAGGGATGTGAAATGTGAATTCTCTTTCTCCACCACAGCAATCCACAGCTATGATGTAGAACAACACAACAGTTTATACATGTGGTTGCCTTACTGGATCCTGCCTCAACTGGAATTTTCTTAGTTGTCGAACTTGATTCACATTAAAATAAATGTGATTTAGCCCTTCTCATACTCAAGTGTTAATGAAAGAATTGCAGAGTCTCTTAGAGATTTAACTTGTCATTACAGTGCTGGATCTTACTCCATTCACCAGCAGCTCTGTGTGGGTAAATGAATCCTCACTGTGTTTGTGCACTGATCACAGTGGGTCAGTCAGTAACACCAAGGCCTTTTCTTCCAGTTATTCCACTCAGCACCTCCTCAGGTAAGAGATGTTGATGTTGTTTGGTTATTTCTCACCCTAGGTCACTGCAAACTGTGGCTCTGTGTGCCACACAGTCAGCTATGACCAAGCACTTGTAGATTATGGTAATTTTTTTGGTAGGATTCTTTAAAGGTCATTGTCTGAGAGCTTCCAGCCAGTAAACATCCCTGGAATGCTTTTGTGGGATAGTTATGTTTGAATTGCTGTTTGGCTGCATTGGTGGAAAGAGGGAACCAGCAAGTTTAAAATCCAGTATTTTAACAGTGCTCTTGATGAAGAATTGCACTTTAAGAACCAAGTATGCAGGTATTGCTCCTAAATATACAGAGTTTAATGCTTGGGCTGTGTATTTTTGACTTTCTGCAACCAGAAGCATTTCAAATATTAAGCCCAGAATGGCACATCATATCTGGCTATAAATACAGCAGCCAAGGAGGCAGGTGAGAGTCACCCCTTCCCTGAACATATCCCCTGAACATATTCCCTGAACATATTCCCAAGGGACAGTCAGGCATTTTTTGGACAAAGGTGTTTTTATGGAATTACAGCTGCTAGTTCCACTGTGTAGCAAAGTACAAAGTGCTCTGTTCTTGGACATGTCAGAAGGGATTAAGAAGCATGTTTTTCTGATAAATTACTTTTATTTTTCAAAATTGCTTCAGTTTAAAGTCACTTTTCCATACATTAACTAGCCACAACAATGACATTATATTTTTAAATTAAATAATTTTCTAAATAATATTTTAGAAGGCAAATACTTAGTACTCAAACATAAACAACTTATAACTTTTTTTTTTCACTTAAACCCAAAGTGAAACTTGGCAATGTAGGGAAAAATGCAAAGGTACATTATAAAGCTTATTGTATGCAATCAGGTTGATTGTTGGAGATGTAAACACTGACTATTAACAGGAAAAATCTTGATACAATGCAGAGAAAAATACAATCCTAATAATTCTCTAAAAATACATGTAATAAAGTTATTTATTTGGACAAGATACTGTGCAAGTTATGCAAACCCAATTATGGTAATTAATGCAACACATGATTTATGCTTCTCCCACAGTGAATGTATAAACCAGAAATCTCTAATCACATACTGGAAAGATCAACAGGTTCTTTTTTTAACAGTAAAGCATCTTCAATCTTCATTCACATTTGGACTTGGAAACAGTGCTTTCCTTGGCATTAAATACCAAATATATTCCTTAAATACGTGCAAACATAAGTTTTACTTCTACAAATACAGTACTGAGACCACACCAAACTGTTCATCATATAAAAATAGCTTCATGTAGAGTTGCACACACAGAGGTGAAATGAATGTAAACTGTCCAATCATGATAAATAAGTCAGGAAAAAAAAAGCTTTTTCTTGAGAATAGAAAGTGATTTCATGTTGGAAAAAGGGATGAATAAATCACTTACGGAAAATTGAGAACTGCCATCAGTGTACACTGGCAAACTCCACTGCTGTCAGTAAAGTTGTTTTGCATTCTTACTACTGTAAAGTCAGTTTAAGACCTTCCTTTACCTTCTACAGTAGGAGAGCATAATTTGCAATGATCTGGAACAGCCTCCAGAGCCCTGTCCCTTGCAGCCTCCTTAGGAAGGCATCTGTGCCCCTCACCTGCCCCAATTTCAGTTCAGCTGAAGACAGAACACGATTTCCCAGTGCCTGCAGTGACAGTTCAGAGCTGAGCCCCACTGAGCAGGCCTGGGCTCTCCAGTGGCTCCCTGAATCCAGGGGTTCTGCTCCTCATTAACACACTGTGAGAAAAGACAGCAAAACCTGGCCCTGCTCGCTAACTGCAGCCTAAGCAGAGTTGTGCAGAATTTGATTTTGCTGCTGGGAGCAAGAACAGCCTGAGCCAAGTCTGTCCTTAGACATGGAGCCCTCCCTGAGCAGAGCTCTGTGCCTGTGTAAGGGCTCTACAAACAGGACCAGCTGTGTTTGCCTGCATTCATTCAAATTGAAACAACATTTTCATCTGTGCTCAAAGATGAATCTCAAGGACAGTGTGCAAGATGTGTGAATATGAGAGAAATGTAGGGAGCATAAAAAATAGAAGTAAATGCAGTGATCATGGGAGCAGATATTCACATTTGCATGGTGTGTAGCAGCTATGACAAAGGGTCAGAAATACATTATGGTTAAAAACCTTGCCTGCTTTGACAAAAGTATGAACTCTATCAAGTCACATTTTACACAAGATGCATTAGAAGGATTCAGTACTTAAAATACCCCATTGCAAAATCCAGTTCAGTCAAACATATTAGTAGCACAAAAATGTTTTTCTCTCCAAGCAGTAGACATCTATTTCTTTTCCAACTATTGCCTACTGCTTGTTAGCAACATATAGATGGCAACAATTTAACAGTTAACAGAATTTCTGTCCAACTCTTGACTTTCACTGACCATCAGAGGGGTCTTGGAGTGTTCTGTTTTCCCTTTACTCTCCTCATCTTCTCCCTCCTTTGGTGCTGTGGGGTTTTCCTCTGCAGTGTCAGGCACAGCACCCCGAGATGCCTCTGTTGCATTTCCTCTAACTGTAATGTGCTCCCACCCACCCTGTGAAAAAGGGACACAGAAACTCAAAAGGAGAAATATCACCCTGTCAGTGCTGGATGTGATGCTTTATGTGCACTGCTATTGTTCTATTTGTTCATGAGGAAAGTAATCCTGCTCTGAATCAGAAAAAAGGCTCTTTGTAAAATGAAACAAAACACAGCAAACCTCCCTGACAGGCAGTTATAGTGGCAAACTTGAGGATTGTTTTTTATCACATTGAGAATTGAGATTAGTAGGGTCAGGCATTCATAATTCAACATCTGCAGAGCCACTGCAGATGTTCCACCAATTTGAAAGGTGGCAAAACATTGAAATAGCCTTTCTCAAAACATTGAGAATATTACAGGGTACAACAATGAGGAGTATTCATGTGCAGACTAGGAAGGAATCCACTTTCTTTTAAATGCCTCTTACTCCACTAGTTTTTTCATTGTAACTTTTAAATTACCTATTTAAAATGAATACTTATCAAATGCAAATAAAAAACTTCCCAGGTATGACTGCACAGCCCATTATAATAACTTCATTATAATAAACCTGGAGGAAAATATCAGTTTCCTACAGGTATATCCAAGCTTTCCCATGCTGCCCAGCCGGGCAGGATGGCACTTCCCTTTCTCTGTGAGCCCGCAGACATTGGGATGTACAACTTGAGGCAGCTGTGTGCCCCCAGCACTTACCCCAATACCATAATCCCAGGAGAGGCCTTTGGGCTCCAGGGGCTGGACACCAGTCCGGTGGCAGACGGTCCCACAGCTCAGGCTGTGGCTGCCCTGCACTTTGTCAGCTATCACCCACACCTCAAGGAAGCAGAGAGAGGCAGTCA